CTTCTTCTGGCCTGGGCCTGCTGCTCTCTGTAGACAGATGTCTACGTTTCTCAACTGGTTTGTGCGGGGCACCTCGGGGCTGGCAGGTGTGTTGTCAGAGTGCAGTCCGGCTCTGTTTGTGTCTGAGAATGGGGATCTGGGGGAGCAGAGCCGCATCAGTAGGTTGGCTTGGTACCATCTCTCTGAGGGGCAGGGATGTCTTAAGGAGGGGTGTGGGGGGGCCAGAAGGTCTGTCAGGCCTTCCTCGTCTGGCCAAGGCCTCCTCTGGCTCAGTAGTGATCTTGTTGCTTCCACAGCTCCTTGCTAGAATGGAAGCCCCTTGAGGGCAGGCACTGTGTTTTTGCCTTTCTTTGGCTTCCCAGCCCTTAAGCCAGTGCCTGCCCCCCTGCTGGGGTTCCATAAACCTCCTTGCTTCTCTGTTGTCCGGGGAGCCAACTGTGATCCGTGGGTTTCTCAGGGGGGCGCATTGTAGCATCATGAAGGGACCTTTCAGACCATCCATCCAGCCCGGGGGCTGTGGCCCTTCTGTGTGTCCTGGCTCCCTCGGCAGCCTCTGGTGAGGCCTGCGCTAAAGCCTGCTCAGACTCATAGCTTGCTCATTTGGTTTTTTAAAACCCTCACTAAAGGAGAATGTACATTTCGGTTAGAAGTGAGTAAAAATAAAGAGGTCATATTCTGCCCCCCCCATGGACCTTAGGGTTCCATGGGCTCCAGGGAAAGAACACCTGATCTAGAACCCGAGGGGTGAAGTCCCCTTACCCTTGGTCTTCAGGGCCAGCCCCCCTTGCATGATGCTGTGGGGCCCTGTCCTTGGGTCAGTTGGTATCATTTGTACAAAAGCGGTCCCTTTTTCACGGGAACACTTAGAGGTGGGGGGTGTTGCCATGGGGGTGTTAAAGAGGTGAGTGGGCCCAGCCGGGGACTGCAGAGCCAGCTGAATTAGGAGAGTGATTGCTGTCCGTCCTTTGGCAGCCGGCCAGACCGGAGTCTCACTTGGAAGGCCGTGCCCGGCCTCAGCCACCTGCCGTGCGGGTCAAGGATGGCCGTTGCTGGGGCCCATTCTTAGCCACCCACAGTTTTCCTGCAATGAAGTCCTAGTGCAGGTGACCTGGATATCTTCAAAGGCTTTCTTCTGGGGCTGTTGGCATTCCTTCCAACACTCTGGGTATTTCCCAGTCTTCTCTCTAGAGAGATGTGCCTGAGGAATGTAACTGAAAGTCCCCTGACTTTTCTGTCTCTTCATCAGTCTGAGAGGTGGGTGAATGCGGGGATTGGACTTACAGGGTCTGTGTTCGAATTCCGCCTTGACCGTTTGCCTCCTTGAAGGGTGCAGATTTTAGAGCTGGCAAGATCCTGCCCAGTCCTCCTTTTACAGCCTGGGACACTGATGCTCTGGGAGGGGGGCACCCGGCTTGCCTGGTGTTGTGCAGCTAGGAAGTGGCTCCCTTGTCCCTGGATTGCAGCCCCCTGGTTGGCTTGCTGGTGCCAGCTTGCCCAAGAGGGAGAGATAAGCAGTTTCCAGATGTCCCGAAGCACCCCGAGCTGCCTCTGTGTCCACACGCAAGGATGTTGGGGTCCATGCTGGGCTTTGGGTGGCATCGACCAGCCCTTCTATTAGAATGGAGGGACCAGGATGCTTGGTGGTTGGTGGCTTCAACAGCATTTCTAGGAAAAGGAACCGGAACAGGTGATCCTCACTGAGCACAGGGTTTTCTCTCTACTGGCTGGGATCAAGTACTGGGCATGTTCCCAGCCTGATGTGCTCTGACTGGCTTGGTTACCATGATTAGCTGAGCAGGGATTTGAGGCCGAGCTCTCTTCCTCCAAATGCAGCCCCACTTGTGCTGGTTCTCAGGCTGCTGGGCCACTGCCATCTCCCATTATTTTTAGTTGTTGTGGGCTAAAGGACCTCTCTGGCCTCTCACCTTTGCCAGAGGAACCTCTTACACCTTGGCTCTCTGGGTCTCTGTGCCCCCATAGAGGAGTGGAAAGCTTGACCTGACCTGGGGTCAGAAGAGCCATCCCTGAGTCTGGCCCTGCTCCTTTACTGTTTGTCTGATTATTGGGAAACCCAGCAAGTAGTCTACACATGTTTATTAGGCACTTACCCTGGGCCAGGCACTCTTCTAAGACTTGAGGATACAAAGAGAAGCCAAACCAGTCCCTGCCCTCACGAGCTCCCAGTCTAAGGTCTCCCCAGACATACAAGACATATTCAGAGTGCGTGGAGGTAATCCTGGAGGGGAAGGCAGCTGGGGGGGGGGTAGCACCGGGAAGGTGTTTTTGACATTTGCCTTCCTCGTATAGAAAACTTAGGAAATTAAGACTTGAGGCAGGAGAGCATTCAGAAGGCTATTCAGTCATTCAGATGCAAGACTGGGTCTGAAGCAGGATGGAGAGGACATGTGTATAAGAAGTGTGAGGGTGGAAATAACAAGATGGTGCCCAGTTGAGCACTGGCAGTGCCACAGAGGTGGCGAGTCTTGGCGGTGGGGGTGGGGAGGATGGGGGGATCCTCGGTTTGGACTCACCGAATGAGATGTCTATGGGACCCCCAGTCTGAAATATCCAATAGATGTGAGATTGAGGCTCAGGAGAGAGGCTGGGCCTGGATATATATGTGTGAGATCTTCTGCACAGATATGATAATTGAATCCTTGGGAGCTAATGAGACTGTCATAGGAAGTAGTATGGAAGGAGCAGTGGGCCCAGGATATAGCCCTGGGGGACACCGGGGTTAGTGGGCATGACATGTGTCCGATAAAAATCTTTGATGAAGATAAACTGAGGCACAATCCAGCAGTGATCATTTGTGAGCAAGCTAGCAGCTGCCAGAGAGTGAGATCCTGAGCTCCTCAGTGGCCAGGGGTGCATCTGAGCAGACAGGGCAGGCTTTTCCACACTGGGCAAAAGTGGAGGGTGGGCTCATGTTTAGCCTGATTTACGAGGAGCTTTCCAGGACCCGTGACAACAGAGTTAACCAGCATTCCCTGGAAAGTCTGGTCTCAAGTGACCCTTGGCTTATGAGCAGGCAAGTGGTCTCAGGGCTCCAGGGATTCCCACATCCCCCCACCTTCAGGACAAGAGCCCGGGCTTCCGTCCAGCTGAATATGGGAAGTTCAGCTGTCTTACAGACTCATGTTGAGTAGTCAAAATCAGACTAATTCCTAAGTACTGATTCCAGTGATTAGACACAACTCTCAATCAATAAGTAGGAACTAGTACAGAATAAAGCGTGCTATCATTTTCACATTCCCCTGTCATGATTCTGCGGAGCCATGTCTCTATGGAATCACCATCTGTAGACCAAGCTGATGTAATCAGGCACAGTCAGCATTCATTGGAATTGAATCAGTAATGGGGTGATGGAAAGGAATATTGCTGGCTCCAGCATTTTACGCAGGGCCAGCCAGGAGAGGTTTGATTATTACCAGTGCTGGTTCACTGTTGCAAATGGCCCAGCCAAAGGTGATGAGTCCCTTAGGCCTTCTTCACGTGCGTGTTGCGATGGTTAGACAGGGCTTGGATGCTGCGGACTAGAGCCTCGCCCCCTCTGGGCAGCGCGTTGGCGATATCTGCTGCTAAGCCAGCCTTGCGTAGAAAATGGTATATAGGAAAGGCAGACTTTCCACGCCTTCTGGGTAATCCAGTGACCAAGTGCCTTCGGACCCTCGTAGCCCACTCCCCAACGTCATTGAAAGTCTCAGGTATTTGTGTGGTCCCTGCATCACCTTCTCCTCGCCCCCCGTTCTGGAGGAGGGCTCAGCCGATGGCGGCTCTGACGGCTTCATAGAAGGGCCGTGCACTCACAGAGGTTCCCAGGTGTTCCTCCTGTAACCCTTGTATGAAATGGATCTGAATACGATTTAGTAGCTAGTTGAGATGGCGAACTGCAGAAAATCCAATCTGGAATTCTGAAACTTCAGAGAATTTAATCCTACATGAAAACAGGCCAATGGGCCCACGGATAGTCCGTCACAGTCATGTATCCTGTTGCTTCTCAGAATTGTGTGCTGGATTTAATTGGAAGAAGAGCACATTCATCTTCATTCACTTTTACCTCCGTGTAAAGCTGATTCCAGTTCATCCCCCCTCAAGAGGATATGACGGTCACATTAGCATAATGGAAGGCTGTCACGGTGTCGATGTCCCGGAAACCAAAGACTGTGAGGCCTCCTGGTCTCTATTGTTTGTAAGTCAAGTGACAATGGAAGATGATTCTTACTCTGCTAGCGCTGTCAGAAGTCACCAATAGGCTTCATCTCTGTGTTTATTACAGTGAAAAAGAGAGGCATAGTATCCGTACGCCCTGATCAGCGGCGTCTGCTACGTGAGGGGAAAGGAGGGACGTGCCGGCATGAATAAGGCCCCTTGGTCCTGTTTGATTTCAGGTCTGGGTCGCGGTCACCAGACAGTCATGCACGTGGAAAGGGTCACCACGAGTCACAGCATCAGATACCCCCGGGGGGAAATGTCTTGTTTGCCAAGATGGGAAGGTCATCCCCTTAACTTTCCCGCAGACCGCCCCGCACCTGGAGTAGCCCCCGGGCCAGAGGGGCACGGGCATTTTCTGAATGGAGGACCGGTCTGAAATCAAAGCTCGGAGAAGCTACAGGTTCAAGCCTTCCCCAAACAGCAGAATTCCACTGATGATAGCTTCGGGCTAGCTTCTTGCTGTGTTGCTGAGGTCTTCCTAAGCATCAGGACATTCCATTGCTCCTTCGCCCAAGGAGAATTGCGTTCTAGACTAACTCACATACAGGGAGCTCCAGTTCACACGTAGCAATGAGGAGTCTGTTTCAAAATGTAACTTTGCTTGTATTAACATTTGCTAACAGATAAAAGGTCATGATTTTCCAAATGAACTCGAAAGAAACTCACTTTTTACTGAAGTGTCACTTGGACCCTTCTTCCGCTTTGGCTGGGAGAGCTCTGAGTTCCTCCAACCAAGGAATTTCACAAGACCCAGTCAGCAGGGTGGGGCGGGCTTGTCCCGGGCAGCCTCCCTGGACAGAGATCTCCTGGAGGACTCGGCTGCTCTGCTCTCCTAACAGTGAGTTGTTCTTGCTTTCATTTAAAACAGAGTTTAACCCTGTTAAACAAGGAGCAGTTTTCAAAGATAGGGGAACGTTCTGGATCAGATTGATAACAGCATTCCGATTGAAAGAGGAAGTGGCTTGCCTTGACAGCTTCCCTCACAAAGCCAGTTCCTCGCAGCGTGGCCTGTTTGGGTTCTTAAAGTTATTGGGAGGCTATTCATTCCAGGTCTCTGGGGCCTTTCGTGTTCCTGCATGAGAGTCAGACCGCAGATTGTTCACTCGGCACCCCAGAGTTCTCGTCGATGCCCTTGGAGAAGGACTCATTCCTCTCCTCCTCAAAGTTAGTCCCTTCGGTGCCAGAGAAGCACTCTCCTGCCTGTTCCGCGAAGGTGATGGCTTGGCGGTAACCAGGCGAGAGGCCAGAGCCCAACGAGAGTGTTCACGCTTGGAGTCTGTTGTAGGAAAGTGGCTTCCATTTTGGTGCTGGTACTTACGTGGGAGAAAAAACTTGGACAGGGAAAGATCTGTGTTCCTGTTAACAAACCAGTACTCTAGGTGAGTTATCTTATCTAATTAGTTATTATCTTATCTAGTTAGTTATTATATCTAATTAACCAGTTAGGAGATTTTGGGTTGTCTCTCATCAAAAGGGAGTTAATTTTCTAATGAGTTTAAACGAACAGAAATCTTCATCCACACTCATTTAATTTTTGGATTCAACGAAATCAAGGCTAGCCCTATAATCACTAATAGGAACAGTTTAAAATCTCAGTTTTCACAAGGGCCATCAACTGCCAGGATTTCACATTTCAGTTATCAGTGAGCTTATGCTCTCACTTTTCAAAATTAACTCATGTTGAAAAGTGACGGTGATTCTACAGTTATCAGCGTGTAGTTGCGAACATCACATCGGTTCAATGAAACATAAATCAGACAACAGTGTCTTTGACCACACGCTTAGACGAATCCTTTGACGTTTAGAGAGACTGATCTAGTCTCTGATGACTTTATGTCACTTTCACTAACTCTTTGATAGGAAAGCAAATTGTTTTCCTTTACAATCTCTTAATAAAATCTGACAGTGATTCGCATTAGCAATATCCTTTGACTGCAGCATAATAATGTCTCGATTTAAAGTATCTGGTTTTCATTAAAAACACTAACAGGAATATAGAACTAACAGGAATTGCATTAAAAAAACAAAAAAGCAAATGAAGCAGTGTCTGGTGGAGACTGGAATTTTCTGAAGGGCGCGAGGCGTCCCTTTTTCTCTGTTTCTTTTGAAGCCACTCAAAGGCTAAGTCCATTCCTTTTCTTAGCCTCACAGCCTTTGCAGAAAAATATTTTATTTCACTTACTTTTCAGTTGCTTCCTGATTCTAAAACAAGCTTTTCCCTCTCTGGGAGCGCTGGGGATTCACCCCATCTGAAGGCTTGTAACAGGAGTGCTTGGTGTCTTCAGGATGGTTATTTAAAAGCAGTAAGAAACAGAAGGGTGAACAAACTCCAGCTTTACTGCCATGGATTGCTTTGGAGACTAAAGGTGGTCTAACAAAGTCTCGTTCTGCTTAAAACAAAGCAAAACAAAACATTTCCTTCCTACAGTAAATTTGTCGATCTCTTCAAGGGCAGTTTTTGCATCTAATAGTTTGTGACCTAAACGTCAAAGCAGTTGCACAGACGGGTACGCGGACTTCAGCCTCAGCCTGGCTTTGGATTGATTATGTTGATCAAAAGTGCTGCTGGCAAGGGGCAGCGAGGTGGTGCGGTGGATAGGGTTCAAATCTGGCCTCAGACCAGACACTTGACCCTTCCTAGCTGTGTGACCCTGGGCAAGTCACTTAACTCTGATTACCTCACCCCCCCAAAAAAAAGTGTTACTGGCTGCTCTTGCTGCGTGACTGAGACTTGGAGTAGGTAGCGATCTGTTCTCAGTTCTTAGCTGTCCGGCATATGCTCCACTTTAATGTTAAGTGGCAAATGGATGTGATTTTAAGTTCTGAGTTGTGGAATTTTTTAAACTTAGAGGAATTTTACTCTTATTTTTCTTGTAACATCTTGCCAAGTTGTTTTTATCTTAACGCTTCTCTGAGCATCATTTTGTTTTCATCAGACTTGACAAAGCTCGCTGGTAGCCCCAGACTCATCAAGCATTGAAATCCTAATTTAGAAGTTTTCAGTAGAGAATAATACATTTAGTCTCCGATTAGTTTTTGCTTTTGTTTTATTTTTTAATTTTCTTTTCTGATTGTTTTTTGTGTCTGTAATCTCTGCAGCTTCCAACATGGCCAGTGTTGGAAATATTCAGAAAAAAGGGAGAGTGATTTTTTTTCTGAAGCCTTTTGGAAGTTTTTCTCTTCCCAGCCTTCTCCTTCTGGTTCATCAGGCCAAAGAAAGCTAGGTTGTGTTGTCGGGACAAGACTGACCTTGGGTCATCGAAAGGCAGTACAGACGAAGCCCTCTAAGGGGCCCTGGGCACACCCTAGAGTTCATTTCTACGCGGTCCGGTGGAAGCTCCGTCCCTCGGGACTCTTTAATCTGTCTGCACAGGGGAAGAACAGAGACTGATCAAATGGAACCTCAAGGTACCTTTGGCCTGAAGAAAGCCTTCCCTTCCTGAGAAGGACAGAAGCAAGTGAAATCAGCCCAGGGCAGTGGAGGCTGCCTTTGCTTGGAGAAGGGCAGCTTGAGGCCCGAGGGAACGGCCCTCCCAGAGGAGTGCTGCTGAGGGCCTAGGGCTGGGCTTGGGCTGTCTGGGATGAAGAGAAACTGAGGCACAACCTGGGTACGGTCATTTGTGAGCAAACTAGCAGCTGCCAGGGAGAGAGATCCCAAGCTCCTCAGTAGCCAGGGGTGCCTCTGAGCAGACAGGGCAGGCTTTTCTGCAGTTGGCAAAGGTGGAGGATGGACTTATGTTTAGCCTGGTTTACGCGAGGGGATTTCTAGGACGTTCTCTGGAAAGTCTGGTGTTAAGTAGCCCTTGACTTACGGCCACAAAGGATGTCTTAGGGTCCCTGGGATCCCCCCCCAGCCCTCATTCAGGGGCAAGAGCCTGAGCTGCAGCCCAGAAATACGGCAATGTAGCTGTCTTATAGACTCTAATGTTAGCTAGTCAAGCTGTTTTTTTAAATCAGACTGATCCCATCGGTTAGATGCAATCCTCAATGAATAATTAATAAATGATGCAGGAGAAAGTGGGGATCAGTTTTCAGTTCCACCTCTGGGTGAAGCAAAGGAGATTGAGAAGGAACAGTCAGGGAAGCAGAAGGAAAACTGGGAAGGAGGGCTAGCAAAGTCTGGTAGGATGATGAGGTCAGAGACAGTCTGGAGACTTCAGAAGAGAGGCAGAGGAGTGAAGGTAGCTGGTGTAGACAGCAGCAAAAGGCAGGAGAGATACAGGCCATGGGGGTCAAGGGGAGGCGGCGGGAAAGCAGGCAGTAGATGGTGAGAGAGAGTGGGGAGGATGGGGGGCGGTCTGTTGGAGGAGAAAGGGGCGGAATGGGATCTATTGGCCATATAGGGGGTCTGGCTGCCTTGGAAAGGGGAGGGCCGCCCTTAGGGGGGATGGGGGTGAAGGAGGAGAAGGGGGCAGAAGGCACGGGGGGAGACGTTGGTACGTGTGTGGTTGGCACGCCCCTGAGCTTTACCAAAGTGAGTGTGCCCTGAGCGCCGGGTCCAGGCAAGCTCGGTCTTGTGTAAGCTGTCTGGTGGTAGCAGGCATAGGGTATTAAACCCTCAGTATCAGTAGCCTGGGTTGGACTCTCTATTATGTGTGGGTGGGATCCCTGCCCTGCCTGGACCTTTGACCCACCCAGTGGCCAGCTGACTCCTCCCCCCGGCTTCCTGCTGTGGGGCAGAGCTGCATGCCAGGGGCGGCTTCTTTCCTTTGGAGCTGCCCTTATGGGGGTCCTGGAGGGAACCTTTGAGACTGTTGGTTTGTTCAGTAAGTACATTCAGCATCCACTCACGTAGCATCTGCAAGGTACTGAGGATGAAAAGACAAAGGGAAGTGGGCTCTGTCCTCCAGGGCCCACATTCTGCAGAGGACTGCACAGAAACACCTGCCTGGGGAGAGCTTTCTGTGGAGGTTGAACCCAATGGGAACTGGGGCTTGGAAGAAAGCGTGCCTTCTAGGCGTGAGGGTCGAGGCCCGGAGCTGGAGGCCATTCTGGCAACTTTGGGCTGGAACTTAGAACTCTGGGAGGCCACACAGATGGTGGAGTAAAGCCAGCAGCAGGGGTTAGGAGCAGGAACACAGCCCCTCCCCCGCTGGGCTGTGGGCATTCCCTCCGGCGTCTGCCAGCAAGGACGCTCCCCCTTCTCCCCTCTGACTGCCGTCTGTCCTCCCTGGTTTCCGTTTAGCCCCACCTCCTACAGGAAGCCCCCCCCCCCCAATTCCTGACCCTTCCCTAGCCTCATCATCTCCTGCCTGCCTGGTCTAGAGCTTTGCTTTGTGTGTATTTGCTTGCGTGTGGATTCTCTCATGATTGTAAGCTCCTCGAGGGCAAGGACTGTCTGCGCCCAGCACTTAGTAGGCACTTAGTAAACATCAGTTGCCAGTCTTGTATGTATCCTAGAGGCATCTGGCAGTCATAGAAGGTTTTTGAGAAGAAGAGCGACGCAATGAGACCCATGTTTTAGAAAGGTTGTTGGCCTGGTCGTGCGTGGGGGATGGATTGGGATGGAGAGAGGCCGAAGGCTGGGCAGAGGCTGTCTTGGTGGTCCGGGGAAGAGCGGAAGATTGCTTGAGGGCAGGACTGTCATTGCCTTCCTTTGTATCCCAGCGCTTAGCCCAGTGCCCTGCACAGAGTAGGTGCTTCGTAAATGTTTATTGAATCGGATGAATGAGAGTACGATATTGGTGGTGGGAGTGGGCAAGAGGAGTGGGCTACCGGGCCGGGGGAGGAAGAAGGCAGTATCTGAGGTGCCCCAAGGACCTGCCCACGCTGAGCACACAGCAGGGATCGGAGGGATTGACGTGGCAGCGGCATAGCCCTGAGTCCCATCGTTTTCCTTGTGCTGTCGTGGGCGTACCGTGCATTGTTCTCCTGGGGCTTCTTAGCGCTGCTGGAGACCATCCGACCCGGACTGAGGATGAGTCTGTATTGCGTCATGTTTTATCATATCGCCAGGGATGCCCAGCCACGCCTCGGCCTTGGAGCACTCCCACAGTGTGTCACGACCTCGGTGCCTGTGTGTGTGCTGCCAGACGAAGGTGGAGAAAATCACGCCACCATTCTGCAAACGCAGTCTCTACTGGGTCCTTGCCCTGCTGCTCGTCAGTCATGCTCTGCCTCCCTCCTCGGCCCCCCTCCCACCCTCCAGACCTCCTCACCTCCTCAGACCTCCCGCGGCTCCTCCATCCCCCTCAGCCGAGACCCTGCCTCCTGTTTTGTGGGCCTGCTCTTGTGAGCTCCCCTTCCTGGCCTCCACTTCTGCTCCCATCACTCAGGCACCTTCTGCTTCTCCTTGTGGTTAGTGCAATTCAGCAAACATGTCTCAAGCGCTTCCTGTGAGCCTGGTCAGCCCTGTTCTTGGGCTCGCTGCTGGTGAGGC